AAACATTTTGACACGCCTCAGTTGCGTGCCACCGCACGCGCCATCCCCTTCATCTGAAGGCTCGTGTAAACGGGCAGGTGGCAGATCTCAATTCTATTCTGGAATTACTTTGAGATAAGAGTTACAAACACTTCCCTGAAGTTTGTTTGTTCCATCAAGCTACTATGCGTTTTTAACGACACAATGTCTTGGTCCTCATAATTTTGGACCACCCTGTATATTCAATTTCTTATCAAAAACGTTATGTGTGATATTGTGCAAGATCATAAAGCTTTTCAGGCACTATTGCACTATTACAACCCAGTAGGGGTGAAATGGTTATCGAGGGCCCTGATCACGAATATGACATCATTTTTGGCGCTGGCGCCAAATTGGCGCCATTTGGCGCCAGGTGGCGCCACGACTGATTCCACTAAATTCGCTGTAAACTTCTGTATAGGGGTTATTTGGGGTCCTGATTACGAATATGACATTCGTTTTTGTTGTTGGCGCTATTCGGCGCCTATTTCCTGCTCGTCTGCGCCCTCGCACTAATTAGATCGCAATCAGGACTAAGCCTTTGAATAGTGGAGGGCTCCAAAGTGAGTAGGCCACTCCCCTGTGGTCTAACACACTCCAACTTTTGCCACACGGTGCGTGGTTCCCACTCCGGAGTTTCACCCCCTCCCCTAAGCTTAGTCTTAGGCGCTATAGGTGAGAAAGCTTAGAAAAGCAGAAAATATGCGTTAAACAGCACGAATGTCAAAAACGAGTGTCATATTCGTGATCAGGGCCCCAAATAACCCCTATACAGAAGTTTACAGCGAATTTGGTGGAATCAGTAGTGGCGCCACCTGGCGTGTCATATTCGTGATCAGGACCCTCGATAACCCCCATAGCAGAAGTTTCAGCGAAAATTATTTTTTGACCCATCTCACCCCCACTGGGGTTGTAATAGTATTATTGCAATAGTACCGTTTTTAGACTCTAGAAATTTGGAATTGTTTCGACATAAGCTAAAAAACTAAGAAGGTGGGCCAATTTTCAAAGCTTCTTAGTTTCTTAGTTTGTGATCGAATAGCTTCCAAATTTCGCCATAATGATACTTATGTGCTCACAAGTAATAAACAATAGCTAGAAGAAATTTTTCCACGGAAAAAAAATTCA